ATTTAGGAGTGTCGTATAAAAGTAGAGTTTAAAATTTAATTATTTGAAATTAATGTTAAAAATTGAATTTAAAATGATAAAACGTTTATTATAGACATTATATTTGTAAATTTAAAATATATTATTTAAATTATATTTACACTTATATAGGCATCATATCAATTTGAATTATAATAAATTCAAAAAATATTATTATATATGAATTATAATAAATCATATTATATATAACTCACTATTAATATTTTAATATATAAATCATAAATTTTATTTATTTTTTAAGTAATGAAAATAAATTATTTTTAAGGGTGTTAATATTAAATTATTAAAATAAAATGTAAATACATAATTGTGTGGATCCCATGTATTAATAAGGGTAGAATTATTATTTGCTTTCAAACATAAAGTTAAAAATTAAAAAATTAAAAATCTTAGTTTTTACGGTTAGTTTAAAACCATTGTTCCCCCATTTTTTTCGTTTAACATTAATTTTACTATTAAAACGTACATTTTAACTAAAAGTGTTTTTATAAAGTTTTACCAAATAGAGCCTAACTCAAAGTAAATACATGTTTTTTTATGTCTATCACACACATTTAGTTAAGTTGTTGCTTTTAAGCTTTTTATTACTCCACACTTGAGTTTCATGTCCTTTGTCAAATTATCATTCTCACTTAAGAATTAAACATCCAATCACACTCTCGAATTCTCACCATCAGGTCCTTATTGTAAAGTTAATTAATCAATCATCACTAATGGTATAGGTGCATATACGCGCCTCCCATACTAACCTACTATCTTACCTCCCCTTATCTCATTACATATGAGAACAATAGACAATCATTTTTTAATAAAAAATTACTTTCAAATAATTTTTTTTAAATCAAATATTTTAATCTCATGTTATTATTAAAATAAATAAAATAATATAATGATATTATTAAGAATATATTAGAAGATACTAAAATTTCAAAATAATTTTTTTAAAAATAATTTATGTTTTATTAATCAAACGTCCTTTAAAACAATTAAATTCAGTTAACAATCCACCGTCCATCTTTAATCTTTATGCTGAATCAAACTAAACTTTCCCAAGTCTTCTCAACCAAAGTGACGCCACGTGTACTACCACAGTTTTTCCATCCGATCAACAAATAAAAAAAGAGAGAAATCATCCATCTCTGACGTAAAGGTATCGACGGTCTAAATTTAGTGAATCGGAGGGATAAAAATGAACCACGATGCGAGGAAGAGATAAAGTATCCCACTGCTTAATACGTAAGCGGAGTGGTGTCCCCACATGCTCCGTCATATGTCGGTGTGTGTAAGTGGTCCCATCCAGCTCATGTTTACGCCGATTGGACCTTGTAGAGATCATCAGTGGCCCACGTGTCATCGCCATATCTCCACGTGGGAGGATCCTACGTCTTCCACTCCTCTAATTACTCCCCCTCTTAAACCTCCTTTTTATGCCCCAGAACTACATGTTTACAAAAAATTCGAATATTTGATTTTGTGTAAAAAAATATTCAAAATTAGATTTGGGAAAAATCGGTTTTTTTAAATCGAATCGGATATTTTAAAACCGGATAGTATGACCGGTTTGAGAAAAAATTGGACGACAAGATTTTTACCGGATTAAAAACCGGTTTGAAAAAAACCAGATAAAAATCCGGTCTGGAGTTTAAAAAATTGGATGATCGGATTTTTTACCGGATTAAAAACCGGTTTTTTTCAAACTGAAACCGGTTACATCATCCGGCCCTCCAAACGGGTTATGATCCGAACCGATTTTTTTATAAACCAATTTTTTGACTTAGTGAAAAAACCGGATTGATTTTTATCCGATCCGAATCGAATTTAAATCCGGCTATGTGCATCTCTACCTAGAACCTTCCAGCTTAAACTGTAATTTAAAACAATAAATTAGTAATTTAAGCAGTCTACTTGATATTTTTTATATTTTAAAATACTTTTCAAATAATACAATTAAAAATAGTTTTTTAAATAATTTATAAAATTACCATTCAATTAATAATTACTATTACATAAATTTTTAAAATCATACTTTTAACAAAATATTTTTTCATGCATTAAGATGCGATGGATTAAAATAGATGCATAGAAGATACTACCACTATTTTATAAAATAAATTTTGTCAAATTTATTAAAAAAATATTTAAATGTGAACATATTTTAAATTATATATATTAAAAAATGATTAATTATGCTTTAAAGTTACCTAAAAGAATAAATGCTATAGTTTTTTATTTTATTTTTCTTCCAAGTATAAGAATAGTTTATTATAAATTGGTTTGATTCACGTCGTTATTATCAAAATATCTTAATGGAGCATTTGGTTCACTGAATACCAAGATGAATTAAGGGGTGCGATTTTATTCTTATAAATTTTAAATTCTCTTAAAATTTAAATATTTTTTAATTTTTTATTAATTATCAAATTTAGTATTTTTTAAAATTTTAAAAAGGGATAACTTAGACTTCGAATTTAACATCTTAAGTTCAAACTTCTAGTATTCATTATTGCATCCATTCCTAAAAAAAATATAAAATTATGGAACAAGACGTTAAAATATAACATTACTTTGAAAATATTATATTATCTAATTTGATTTATTTAATGAGAATATAAAATTACAGTACTTAATTAATGAAATACAAAATTATTTGAATATATATTTTATCAATTGTATATGAAATAAATTATTTTCATCAAGTTAAGCTTTTAATATTAAATTATAAATATTTACATAAAAATTATAAAAATATTTTAATCATCATCTTCCATGGCGGCCACCGCCGTTTTGATTCCACGTGCCCCCGCGGCCGTTAGAATCACTCGCTGTTCTACCTTGCCGCTCCTGCCTCCTCGCGTTTCCGCCGCTACCTTTTCTTCGCCTGTTAAGCTTATTCCAGGTCCTGCTGTTAACATCAACGCCCACTTGCATGCGTGCTCTTTCCTTTTTATTTGATTCTATCTAAAGAAAATGAATGCTTAAATGTGTAGAATTAGAAATGTTGTATTGGTGATAATCAGCGTTAAGGAGTAGTTGCAGGAAACTAATTGTGGAGGATAATCGGTGATGGATGCCAATTCAAGTATTTTCCCCTTGCATCCATTGGTCTTGTTTGTTTCAAAAACAGAATCCAGGAGGTTTCCTTTGCTTCAGAATAAAGCCACGGAGGAGACCTCTGTTGATGCCGGGGAGCTTTTCTCAGACTTGAAAGTAAAGGCGAGAAAAGATTGTCTTACCTGAATATAGTAACTATTAAACAATTACAGTCATTATATTATCCTAGCAATCAATTTCTTGTTCTTTTAACCTGCTTAAGCTGAACTTAGTACTGATTTGGTCTTTTCCTTTTGGTGGTTGCCAGTGGGATAAAGTTGAGAACAAGTCCACAGTTATTATTATGGTGGCGGGGCAATAGTTGGTGTTTGGCTATCATCTATTCTTGTTGGTGCCATTAACTCAGTCCCTCTGGTAAGTTAAGTCATAATGCTACACTCTTTCTTGTTTCATACCCTTCACTAAATTGCTAATCCAGTTTGTTATCTATGTATTTGTGTGGTTATCAGCTCCCAAAGATAATGGAATTGGTGGGACTGGGATATACAATATGATTGTCTATAGATACCTTCTCTTCAAGGTAAGGTCGAGTCTATATATATATATAAACATATTTACTCCCATGAATCTTAATTGTGGATAATCTACGGTGTTTTTATGGCCGGAGAGGGAGGGGATGTTAGCCATTCTGCATTCATGGTCTTGCAAACACTTGCAAAGTTTTAAATTTGCATTCACATAAAGAAATAACATAACTCTAAAGGGAGATGAACAAGTGCATGAAGAGATAATGATGTGTTTGGTGATTTTGTACCAACCTTGAGAGTTACAAATTCTCAGTTCAAATTCTTAAATTTAGCTATATTGGAGGTGGTATTCAACTTAGAAGAGTAGCATAGTTTACAATTAACAGCTTATCGGTTTTCAGAATTGTCATATATGTGGACACTGAAACTATTTGCTAACATCTTATTTCTTCAGTCAAGCAGGAAAGAACTAGCTACCGATATCGAGGAATTGAAAAAGAGGATTGCTGGAGCTGAATAAATTCAGAGGTTGGCAATGGCATATGCCCATTGGCCTCTTTGCAACCTGTAAAAGAGACATATGTATCCTGTAATTGTGGGATTTCCTTGTATGAATTCTTTTGACCTTTACATTTTCCCTGTGCCTGAAATAAAGTGTGTCAATTTTGTGTATGCCAATAATCTCCAACCCATATATGCCCTGTTTAATGCACAGAAAAAGTAGCAAATTTCTGCTATTCAAAGGGAACCTGATATATTCCCTTTACCAACAATAACAAGACTGAAAAAGCTTATTGATATCATAGTTGAATTACCCCTATTTGATTACACATATAAAGATTCCAACCTGAATGTAATTCAGAAACTGGTGAAGTTTTCTAGAGGTAGAGGAACAAGCTGAAACGAATCTTGCATACCGGCATCGAACATTTATATCACAACCCTTAAACAGGCAACATACACTACTAACACATGAAATTGTCACCATCATCATGGTTACAGTCTAACGATGGTTATTAAAGGCCTTCCAATTAAAGCAATGCTTCAGTTCTGCAGTCATATGAAGGAACAATCAAAATCTACCACAAGATGAATTGAGGTGAAAACAGGAGCACCAAGCTAAACATCTAAATCAGGACTTCCTGGATCTTCTACCCTAAAAATTTAACACCATTAAAGGAATCATATGAAAGCAAACAACAGCAAGTCCCACAAAACTCAGAAATTAAAGCCACCCTCCAATCAAATTGAAAAGCCTGGTAGAAAAAAGGCCTGAGATTAGTCAAAATCTTATCTAATTCTGTGAAGAGGATGACATCAAAGCATTTAACCAAAAGAAGATTTCATCATCGACCGGCTTTCCTCATAAATCAACACAAAATCTGAAAACATGTCAAATTTAAGAGTAAACAATCATTAAGATAATAGAAGGTAAACCCATGTGTTGCAACACAAATCCAGCATCCATAGTGCATAATAAAGCATAAAATATGCCATAACCGTCATCACGTCTTAAAATAAAATTTAAAATAACAATAAAAAAAAGAACTCTAGATCTTATCAATGTCCTCGTCCTCGAACTCGATGTAATCATCACCGGCACCATCATCTTCCTCATCGATGCCGCCAGCAATCCCTTCATTCAACCTCGTATTCTCCGGTAGCTCTCCATAAGCCTTGAGAAGCCTAGCCTCGTCCGGCATGTATTTCAAGATGACGTCAGCCTTATCATCCTGGTAATCCCTAAGACCGACGAGGATGATGTCTCCGGCGGCGATCCAGACCTTTTTGTGCATTTTACCGCGGATGTGGCAGAGACGCTTGGTGCCGTCGATGCACATCGCTTCGCATCGGCCGTTTCCCAACATGCGGCTGACTTGGGCGTATTCTTGTCCATCTTCTTTGAAAATAAGCTCGCGTTTCTCGTCATCGGCCTCGTTCTTTCCCCTCTTTCGATTCTTTCCTCCCTTCCCCTTGTTCTTCGGCATCTTTGGTTCTTCGCAAACGATTGCAGGTCCCTCTTCTTGTGATTAAAAAAAACCCTAACTCGCCTTATTTAATTTGATTCGAAGACAATTTGATTTCCTTCTGATCTTCTTTCTCGATGAAAAGATATTAGCTTACCGATCTTTGTTTGTATTTATAATAGGAGTCACTCACGTAATTTGCCATCTATATTGTTTTTAAATTTAAATTTAAATTAATTATTTTAAATAAGTTGCTTGCCGAGCAAGGTTAACCAATATACCGCTTTATCTTTGGGTTTGGGTTTCCTCTGCATCAAGTAAAAAAGTAAAAAAGAATTAGTAAAAAAACTGAAAAATATAATATTTTTAATTTAATTATAATATAAAATAACAAATACATAAAATTTTCTATGGCTTTATATTGTGTTCAGCATAAAATTAATATCATGTTAAATTAGGACATAATAATAAAGAGTTCTAAGTTGGCATTAAAAGTTTAAATTTGATTTGAACAATGAAACTTATTCTATCTATTTAATTTTAATATCTATCAACTTATACTTAATCATATAGTATTAGAAAATAGAGTTTAAATTAATATAAATATGTACTAACTTAAATCTAAAGTAATCTAAATTCGAAATAATCAAACATAGAGCCTTAATTTAACCCCCACTTTATTACACTATTTTAAGGGTAAACTACACAGTTAATATTCTAACTATCACTTTTATTTCGTGTTGGTCATTTAACTATTTTTTTAAAAGTAAAATTAACGTTATTTTTTGATTTCATTTTTGTCACCCATAGTTAAAAGGTTAACATAATTATTGATGTTATATTTTTTTATTTTTTCAATGATGATATGATAGTATCTTATGGTGACATGTAAACATCACCATTAAATTTTTAACAGCCAGTAACCAAAATGAAATCAAAATTAAATGTTAGATATAATTTAAAAATAATAATTGAGTGACCAAACAAAATAAAAATAATAATTAAAATATTAAACGTGTAGTTTACCCTTGGTTTTATATTTGCATACATTAGCACCATAATTGTAGATGTTCATTAAGATATATATTTTATAATAATTTTGATTATAACTGAAAAAGCTATATTATAACGATTTTTAATTTAATATGCTACGTGTTCAATTTAGAAAATTATATAATCAATAGTAATTTCAATTACAATAAAAATATTTTTAATAATAATTTTTAAGTCACAATCTGAAAAATTACAATTTACTTTTTTTTTATAAAGAATACAACATTTTTCTGTTTTAGTATAAGATGTTGTCTTATACAATTTAAAAAGTTACGGTATTAATAAATATTTTTTAATTACAATCGATTTCTTTTATTTTCAAATTTATATTAACATATATTTTAGATTTTTTTATTTAATGCTCTACCCAACTACATTTTCTTTTATCGGATTACTACATCATTCTGATGTGTTGCAATTAGATCTAAGCAGACTCAATATAATTAAATTAATTTAATCTATTTTTTTATAAATAAAATAAAATTCGTTTAATATAAGTTCGAAATTGATTCTAAACCAAAATATTTTATTATAAAATAATCAAATAAAATTATTAAATTTTATAATAAACCAAAAGCTTAATTATAAAATAATTGTTCAAATTATATCGTTTTTCTTAAACAGGTTTTCGATTTTTTTTTAATTATCTAGGTGTCTAATGCTACAAATGTTATCATTTTAGGTGATCATGACGTAACAACCGTTAAAAAATTCTGTTAAGTGATATGTGTCACGCTTTGATAATTTAAAAAATAATAAATATTTTTATTTTAAAAAATAAAATATCTATAAATTTGTTGAGTTAATCGAATGACGAAATTGACCAAGAGGGGGGTGAATTGGCAATAAAAATTTTGTGGAAGCTTTTGCAGAAAATTGAAAGTAATTGCACAGCGATTTACAGTGGTTCGACTTTCTCAAACAAAGTCTACGTCCACTACCTTAGCTATCCACACTAAGGATTTTCCAACAAATTCACTAATTTGTTCTTTCTTTTGAGGCCAAAGAGATAACCTTGCAATTCCCTCAAGAGTATACCCCAACTCTTGAGAACACTCTTTTCTCAAAGAGAAGATTACAAATTTGCAAACTTACAAGAAAACCTCACAAGGTAAGATGTTTGCACAATTCTAGAACAAAGAAAAGAACACTCAAAGATGAATACAATTGAGCACAAAAAGTGTTCTTGAAAACAAAATGAATATTGAATGAAAATGGGCTTTGAAATGCTCAAACTTGAGGTTTGATGCTTTCTCTTTGATTCTCTCTTGATTCTAGTTGCTTGATATTTCTTGTTGTTGATCAATGGCTTCTAAGCTTGCTTAAATACACCTTGGATCACTTCTGAACGTTGGGGATAATTAGAGAAGATATTATAGCCGTTTTAGTGTGAAAACATTTAATAAAACAGCTTGGAGCGTGGGGGGAATCGGTTCCCTCTCATAGGGAATCGGTTCCCTAAGTGTAAAATTCAAATATTTCGACCGTTGAACAGGGGGGAATCGGTACCCCCTAGGGGGGAATCGGTTCCCTCCGAGCATTCTGGAAATCTCGGAGCCAAACCATTCAGGGGGGAATCGGTTCCTCCTAAGGGGGGGAATCGGTTCCCTCTGAGCAATCTGGAATTTTTGGCTTTGAATTGGTTCGAAATACTTTGTAAAATTATTTTGAAATTGTTTTATGATTAAAACTTAATTTTACACTTAAGTAAGGATCAAAAATGATTTTTGAAATATTTGGAGTAATGTTTTGATATTCGAATAGTTATATCGAATATACTTAGAAAATCATTTGGAAAATCTTAAAATCCATTTAACTTAATTTGTTATATCGAAATATTAAAATGTTTCAACAATCTCCCCCTTTTTGATATAACAAAACATTTTAGTAATTTTAAGATTTTTTGAAATAAAGTTTTGAAATTACTACCCCTTACTTTAACACTACTTCAATTTATTATGTAAAACATTTACTACTTATTCTTCTTATTCTTCTCCCCCTTTTTGTTAAATCAAAAAGACATTGTAAAACAAGGTTTTGAAAATCATTTAGCCAATTGATTTATTAATTATAAGCTTAAGCTGCTAAGATCACAATCAAAAGAGAGGTTAGCCATTAGTTTCATAAATCAATATTCATAAATAATGTGATATGGCAAAATTGGTCATATTGCTAATGATAATGTAAATGATGCAAAAATGAATAAAACACACCAAACATAAAAGTTCACACCATTCATAAATCCAAAATCCAACAATCCACAAAATCAAACAATTCAAAATGTTGAAATAATATTCATTTTGTTCAAAGTTTTAAAGATAAACATAAAATTAAGCATCCGGATCGGTAGGAGGAAAACAGGCTCGCATAGCGGCCATCGTGTGTGAGTTCATTGATACGAGCGTTGGTTGATTCATTGTTTGCACGCATCTCCCGAAGAATCTCTAATTGTTGAGCTCCCATTGTGGATAAATGAGACTCTATAGAGGAAAAGCGCGAGTCCATGGTAGCGTATCGGAAATCGAATGTCTCCATAAAGGATTGAAAATATGGAGGCATTTGATGCGTTTGTTGTGCTTGCTCCTCGGGCTGCTCTTCGGGTTGTCAGGTTCTTCTCAGCTTCATCAATATCCCTCATTAATTGTTCAAACTCGGGATCTTCGTCAGCCTCGAGTGGAGCTTGTGAAGAACTAGCTCCCGGAGTAGAAGAACGAACCCATTCACCGGTTTCTTTGTCCTTTACCCATCCCGCTCTCGTTAAGGAAGAAGATTTATTTGTTTCTTAAGAGGAAAAACGGCATCTAGACGACTCTAAGCCCAGCTTTGGAAAACAGATTACTCAAAAAGCAACCGTAAACTAGAGATGAACAGTGTTTCTTGTTAGGAACAAGATTTACGGTTTCAACATTTCAGCAAAAATAATCTGAGGTAGGTTAATTTTAATACGGTTTTCGAAACAATGTAACCACCAAAGATCCAAAGCTCTAAGAGTAGAATAACGACCTCCGGATGGTCGAAACCACCAAGAAATCATTAGATGAAGAAAACGCTCATGTAGGTCTAAGACACTCGCACTATCTCTTCTTTTATAACGAGAACCTAAAATTTGTTTTTCATTCGAGATACCATCATTATCTAATCCAAATGTATTGGCTATATATGCCGGGTCAATATATAAGAATTGTCTTAGAAGGTAGGAACGAATTCCTATGGTTTCGGTTTCAGCTTGGTTTTTAACACATACGGCATTAGAGTAGAATATACGAACAAGTTGATGGTAAACGATGGGTTCAAGATCAAATAGTTTATCAAATTTCCATTCTTGTAAAATGGGAAGATATTTAAAATCGATAGCTAACATAGCTTGACGAGAAGGAATACGTTCTTCCCGGATTTTGTAAGAATCGAAATATTGATAATACCAAAATCGGTGATTTCTAGATCCAGGATGATTAAAACACGAATTTTGAATAGTCAAGTTAGGATCAGTGGGATTGGGATTAGAAATTGGAATAGAAGGAGGATTTGGAGGTGGATTTGGTTGACGACTAGAACGACTAGATGAAGACCTAGGACGTTTAGGATTTGACATGGTGAAGGAAATCGGAATAGATAGAATAACCTGCAATTTTAAAACAAATGTATGCAACTCAATTAATCCCAAAACTCAATTGAGTCCTCAATATTTCAAGGTTCTCTAAATCAATCCTAATGGGCAAAGTTTTTGAGAAACTTTGAAAAATATGGTTTTGAGAAACATATATGTATAGTTTTCATAATAACAACATAATTTAATCAAAACACAATAATTTGAAAAATAACATTTTTTTTATTTCAAAAATTAAAAAATTTGAAAAAATCTTGTGTTTTTTGATGAAATTAGTTGTAACATCTAGTTTCTAATCACTAAATAATCAATGCCCGATCACTATTTCAACCTAGAACTAATTAAAACTAATCCTATGTTAAAAAATAATGAAATAAAGAGTTTAGAAAAATTACCTTGAAAGATGAAGATTGAGGGGATTTAGATGTTGTTTGCACGACTTTAATGATTTCAACAGGTTTAGAAGATGATATATGAAGTAAATTCCGAT